CATGTTGTGACGGTGTCTCGGTCATGTTTTGATGGTGCCCTGGTCATTTTGTGATGGTGTCCCGGTTATGTGATGATGGTGTCCAAGGAAGAGATGGTCGATGTGTTGAAAACAGCAGCTGTTTCCAGATTTTTCTTTTTGTCCCGGTTTGTATCTTGCTATTGGGGTCTCCAGCTGGGCTAATTTGATGTTGTTATTGTTCTATTTTTTAAAGACCAACTCCTCAGCTTTTCGAGCTATAGCCGTCAGTTAGCTCATTTAGCTCTAAGAGGAACGGCCGCTCGTTCGCATCTTGGGCGTCGGGGACAAGCAGCCATGGCATATCCATGGATGATCACGGACGGCGGACGGGTCGATCTCGCTTTCGCCGCTGGTCATTCGGAACGAATCTCTGTGGAATGATCCAATTTGGGTCCGAAAAACCACATACCAATTAATTGGCACTTGCCTGTGTCAATCGCCCGGTTACGCGCCCGACACGAACCAAGCTATGTCGTGCCAAAACCGGTGGCAATTCACATCGCACCATGGCAGGCTGCCACCTTCTCTGGCACCTCCGATTCGGACATGGATGGAGCCTATGCGATCTATGTGGCCCAGATATAAACAGATCATGAATGGATCACATTGACAAAACAGATCACACATTCATACACATTCAGTGCCAATAACATCGACAAAGAAAGACGCATTGATTCAAAGAACTCGGTGAGTTTATTTGTGTTGCCGGACTTCACAATATATATGAGCAGCTATATGAGCAGCTTCAGTATATATAGTTCCAATCACTGGTGAAAGTGCCTGGTGCCCACCCAGTGAACCATCCATCCACGAGTTCTTCCGTTGAGTTCCGTTTTTACAGCAGCGGGCACTGCACTTTCAGCTCAGGTGCCGCTGAAGGGTCTGAAAGCCGGTGAGACGCAGTCCGCCGTTTTTTACTACGCGGCGCCTGGGATGCGTTGATTGACGTCCGTGACGGTCCCGGTCTTTTTGTTGGTCGCCGTTTCTTCTTTTTCGGTGGTACAAGCAAAGAGCATTAGGATGTAGGCCTTCGCTATTAGAGGCCATCCCTTTGTAAACTGAATTCAGTGGTTTCGGTCCCGTGTTTTTTTAAAGATATCTCTTTTTTTGCGCTTTTCGGTGACGCGGAAGGCGTTATTGTTCGACCGTTGCGGTAGCTCGGTGGGGACCCGATGGGGCAGGCTGGACAGCGCACGATGATTTTCCAAATCCGTATTGGAACGGCCTGGCGGGGATATGGGGGCTAGCTGATGCTAGCTGTGAAATTGCGTTCGAATGTAAAAGCACCTGGCGGTGTCTCGGTAGTACGGTTTCACTTCTACGCAGTTCTTCAACCGCATCCGTTGAGCGTGTCGGACGCGTCCGGGTCGGACGCGTGTTGCGCATCCGGCAGGCATCAAGTGCCCAGAACTTGGATCAGCTTACAAGTGCCGCCGCGGACCTGCAGCCGACAGGTGGGGGAGACGGTGACGAGTGTGGTGAATCGGCTGTTAGACTTTTGGGTGTCAGACTCCATGTTTGCCGGAATCTAGGTGTGTTGGTAAGAAAATTGAAGCGGATTGAAACGGGGACATTCAGAGACGACCCGCTGAACAGCAGTGCATCCCCACAAATGCAGGAGTCTTGAGTGCTGATCATAGTGGTTGCAATAGGGCCATAGGGAAATCCAGCCGAGTTGGCTGTAGACACCGACCAGAACAGGATGGCATGTGAATCCAATCCCGTGGACACCAACGACAAGGGATACCATACAGCAATACTGTTGCTAGTATTCTGTACGAATACGGGCAATCGATTGCCAGTGGACAAGAAAGGCACTATCAAAATGATTGCTGTTGATTGAGCGGGATTGAGATACTTATCAATCTGCTTGCTTGGGTGTGTTAGTCGACCAAGGGTTTCTTCTTGGGTGACTCATCATTAATGAATTGGGAACACGTGGCAATATCAGACCGAAATGCTGAAGGACAAGGTGCATTCTTCTTCAACATTGTTGCAGTTAGAATTCACCCTACCACCCTTGATAGCATGTACGATTCCTTCTTCAACGCCACATGCCAGTTGGCGCTGCGAACCTCTCGAAGTCCTTAGTTGCTTCTTGGCTGATGGAACATGTGAACTTGCTGACGTGCTTGGTATGGTGTGTATCAAAGTGTGTGCACCATCTCTCCGGCGCAGCAGTTGCGCTTCGGATTTCCCGCCTCGAGTGTTCGATCTTTTTTGGGGTCAAATCACCTCGCTGGTGGCATGTGAGAATTTCAAGCAGAACAGCGACCAAATGCATCCAAATACACCCATTAGAGATGAACATCAGGGTGTGTATTCTTATTAGGGAGACCTCCCAGGCGACCCCGTGGGTTCTGTTCGGTTCCCATCGAGTCTACCCAGCCAGGGGTGGTCCCTAGTGACATACATGAAAATACAGACCCTCCATGTAGATTCACTTCCCCCAGGCCTTTTCCAGAGCCACCGACCTTAGCCTCGCGAGGTCTGGGACGTGGACCGATGTGACAACAACGCCAACGACCCGTCGGTGGTGCCTTACCCGTTCGGCGAATTCTAAGGGGTGTGACAGATGGCTACGGGTCATGGCACCGGGGGATTCTGGCTTTTCCCACCGAAAATGAACAGAATTAACAATTAGACTACGATGGAGGTCAACATACTGTACCAGAGATTAGGGGTCCGGTTTTGACCCACAGCCATATGTGGAGCCGTTCTGGGGAGAAGTGACTCAAAGGAGCACATGTGACTCCATAATGCTTCCACCTGAAACCAACCTATAGCCCATAAGAGCTGCAGAAGACTGCAATTGGATACAGGCGCATATCCAACCCGGCTTTTTGTCTGCAGGGTGACTCAAGCGAAAGAAACTGATGAGATGCCCTCCATCCACTCGATCAAGCGACTCCGCAAATCAGCCAACAGACATCGAGGACGTGACTTCGTTGGAGTCAGCCAGATTTCTTTGGTGGGCATTTTGCGAGACGACCCTTCAATGCCCGCCTGGCAGCCCAAGGACTGCGAACTGGCCAAGACCTGCTTTGACGTGATCGAAAAAGCTCATAGTGCATGCCGAGCCGCTCGGCCAAGAGTGCAATACGCGAGCTAACACTGAAGGAGAACGCAGTGTCTACGGTGGACGTGCCAGACTGTCACTGGAGGGCTATTTTTTGTGATCCATTCCCCCTACCGAAGCACAAGAAACCTTATTCCTAGGTCTACCAGACTGTCAGGCCTAGGGCCTAGTAGGGAACTAGAGCCCATGACACTGGTTGTAGCCACCAAACCACGAAAGGCATGGGTTTTCGGCCCCCTTCTCCCAGCTTGCAGTGGATCCACCATCGGACAAGTCGCCGTACGTACCGGGGTCGATACGGGCGGCCGCAGTGCGAAACCTTGGTTTCCAGGGCCTGAAGTCCATCGGATAGAGATGATCTCATCGGTGCTCGAGATGGCACGGATCGCACCGAGTTGGCAACATAGACATAAAGGGATCGCACAAAGCACCACCCCGCCCTGCCTGCGATTCTATGGATCAATGAGGTGATGCTGGTGAGCACGATGTCCATCGGCGAGTTGAAGAAGTACCCCGGGTTTCTGAAAATTCAGAATTCTCGTTCTTGGGTGTGGTGGCGGAGGTTAGAAGATATGCAGTTTCTACTGTAACTAGTATAGCTCAGCATTTTGGATACCTCTCCCGAGTGATGGTTGCTTCTTTCAGGGCTGGAGGTTTTGTGCAGTGTCGAAGCAGGATGAGGTTGGTTGTGATTTGTTTGCCCAGCCAGTTTTGGACATGCCCCCAATTTTGAGAAAAGCCAACTAGGCTCCCTAGACATCTCGACCAGAGTGGCAGTTTGTTTGCCGTCTCTTTGTTTGCGAACCTGTCCTCCATGCCCTGGCGGTCTGCAACAAGCTTGTCTCATTTTACATTAAGCTTATCACCAGTGGTGAGGCAGGGAGCAGGGGAACCATAGTTTTCTGGGCAACACTCTGTAACTGCTGAAGGACCGGGGCGTGGGCAATTAGAGACATCCCCCTAATTAATTGGAAATCTGAAGATGACATTCTCCGAAGGCACCGCGTGAACCCACCGCGTGAACTTTTCCGGTTGAAGGAGGAAGATCCTGAGCAAGCCCAGTACTCTGAGCGCTGTTCAAGGGATCAGAGATCATCGATCACGAGCTCGCGTCCTTTCAACACCAGGAATGGTTCTTTTTTTCCAAGACCTAGTCCAAGACCTATGTTAGCAAGGTCAGGTGCTGTTCCAACATTGGAACACACCACTAGGGGTATTTATTGGACTGACTTTATGATACTTTTTTGTACTCCAAGATCAAGTAGTTTTGGGGTGTTCCAAGATTGGCCAAATCTCCACGATCAGGTACATTTGCGGCATCAACACCTGCGCGACTTCTGGGATGTCGATTGGCAGAGAAAGCGAGCGACGCCTCGTCCCACGCGTCCGGCAGCGAACCAGCGAACGCGACCTCGTCCCCCATCCAACTGTTGACCTCGTCGCCAAAACACATTAAGCATGCATGGTTGATCATAGAATTTTCCCAGAGGTCATAATTGATTTGGATGTGCGGGAGGGTTGGCCACCAAAACTATCTTGGATTACACTGCGGTGTGTGTTTGTGAGCATCAACGAATGATGACATAATAGATGAACAGTACAAAACTAAAGACATTCTAGAAAGCCAAGAAGGTGTCTCATCCTAACAAAGTAGCTGCACTTTGCAGAACATTCCATACAGCTTAGGCATACTCGGGATTTCCACCCAATAACAGTCCAGACATATATCATTAAATCATACTATATATATGTTTTGATCTATTGTGTAGCGGCCCCATCACAATCAGCTTGGGCTCGGGACAACCACAAACTATTGTGGCGGGCTCAAAACGTGTTTCAGCTCCTCCTTTATTTCAACACCAAACTCGGCTCCAGGGCCGCCGCCAAGACCTGTATGCAGCGCTACCCCTCTGACGTCCGTGCGGGCCTCGGGCGGGCGGAGGGACTCTCACACGGTCAGATGGTCGCCAGTCAAGCGGGAATTGGGAATGTCAGGGTAGGTGAATCCGCCATGAAGTTCTTTGGAGGTAGACCCTCCGACTCACTAACATGGAAGTGGAAAATAGACTGTTGGACCCTGTACAAATAGGGTAGTTTTCACTTAATTCCATGTTAGTGGATCGGAGTGTACCTTCCGGTCTGGTTCAATATCAGAAGAAGTGTCCGCGCCGTGCTTTCAAGATGAACCCCTTTTGGGTTGCTCCGACGTTGGAAGGACTCCACCTCGCAGTCCCTTCCAATTCACGACAACGCTACGCAGACAGATCTTCCAACCGTTGAACTACCTATCCTCAGAGAATCCATGCTCCGTCCGTCCGCAGAATGGCTGGCGCCCGCCCTGCACTATCGGCAACGCTGCTGGGCTGGGATGGGGCTGGGGGTTCCATATGGGATCTGCCCGGGATGTGCCCGGATGTGACCGAGGGTTCTGATGGCATCTCGGAAATCATGAAGGTCCATCATCCGTATCTCAAAGCACCCAAGTAGTGGGAAGCATCAGCATTCATTTCATATCATTCATTTCATATCATTTTCATATCATTTCATATCATTTATCCGTTTTGGTTCTCCTCCACTTCAGATCCAGCTGTCTATCTTGATGAGGACCGTGGCCTGTGACCTCGGAAGAGGTCAAAGAGCTGCAGTTGGCCTATTTTGCCAACGTTGCGAAGCAGTTGAACCATGAATTCTCGTTGAATACCCTCTCCCAGGACCATCCTTTCTGGGTTTCCAATGGACTACCCCGCACTGCTTGGAGATCTCCGTTGAACACCCAGACACGATGGTCCTGGTATACATTCCACTGCCGCACATTGAACATTTTCTGTGGTGTTTTCACCATTTTTTTTTGAGCCTCAATCTTCCAATCCGACGCAGGTTTTTGGCTGATTTGTGGGTGGGTTACAGTAGGTCTCAGGGTGATGTCCAATTTGGGCAGCCTTGATTTGGAGAAACGCCACATGGTGAATCTGGTGATATGTATCATGAAGCGAAAGCACCTGAAGCCACCACAGCTTTGCCCCCACTGAGGCTATTGTGGGGATGGTCATCAACCAACTGACGCTTGGGAAATCAAGGAGATAAATGAAGCAGCAAACACAACCGTGATTTAATTTTGTGCTACAGGATTTTGCACTTTGACAGCCTCTCTTTGTGAAGTGCAGCGGTGTTTCTGATTTGGCCCTCCAGCCTTGTTGGAATGTATGTGATCTCGCGTTTGAGGCAGAGTGGTAGGTTGGATGGTTCTCTTTCATGGGAGCCATTCTCAAGACGGCCCGATTTTGAGTGTTCTGCAAAGTTGAGTCAAGTGGGAATGGGCATTGGAATTCATGTATGTAACCTGATTCAGGAAAAGATAGGAAAAGTGTCCTAAAGTACCGTTTTTTTGGGTTCACCGGATGCCGTAATTTACTGGCAAAGGAGCAAATCCACCTTCACAGGAAGCTTGAGCTTTTCTGCAGACCAGCTTTGGGAAGTCTGGCTTAACCAGTAGCAGAATATGACGAGCTCACCGAACACAAGAAACATGACTAACGTGATGCTCTGGTGGTACCTATTTTCATCTATTTTCGTTCCGGTTGCCGGCCCAAGGCAGCACGTACGTAGATCATCCTGCATTCGTTGGGAAGAGCTGGAGAGGATGTGACGTTCTCATGTTTGAAGCGGATGGGGACGTTTTGCATGTCAACGGCAGAACATTGGCCTTGACAATATCCTTAATACAGTCCATTGGTTCTTATGATTGGTTCTACGCCTGTACACTGCCCGTAGCTGTGGCTGCTGTCATAGAGGTAAGCCCCTGACATCCCTTGACCAGTTGTCAGATACAGGGCACTTTCAACACCTTTGCATGCTCAATGGTGTCCAACAAGGTGTCGGCCGCTGGTACCGAGTGTGTCGGCACAAAGAAGTTGGTCCACTTTCTGCACTTGAGGATATCATCAACGATCACTCCACCTGTGCACTGTCCTTCAAGGCACGAAGAACTGTGTGAACCACAAGAAACACCCTGAGAAGGTCCATAGATTGCGACATGGGCGATCCACTGGTGGGATTTGATTGTAACAGCAGAGTTGATGAAAACAGCATTCAGTGTGGCAGTGTGGTTGGTCAAAAGATATGCAACTACACGTCACTTTTTTCAGGTTGAGGACTTGTATATAGTTCATGCCACACCATACCCTTGAGATCCCTTGAGGTACCAGTGACACTCATTTTCCGGGTGTTCAGCTTTCGGATCTTCGACTCTACGATGGTTCAAAACATATTTTAAAGCAAACGGGTTCATCTGCAAGATTCGGGATAGCTTTGGTGAGCTCAAACTTTGATTATTCTTTACAGGTGCTAGGCACGCCAATTACCAAGATGTGAGTCCTTTGGTCATTTCTGAACCTCCCTTTTCTGCTCTGAACCTCTTCGCTCAGGGCCTCGCAGGGTCAATGCAAGAACTCTATGCTATCGGTGAAACACACATGCTATCGGAGTATCCGCTGCTGTGTCAAAGCGAAGCCTTCATTGGGTGGTCCACACCCAGACGGGACTGCCATAGGACTGCCATAGGACTGCCGATCAGGTTGAGAGGGGGTTGCTTGGTCTCCACGTCGCAGAAAGGCGCTAGGTAGAGCACTTGTTCCTAGTAGCTTCTTGTTACTACTAGTAAGGCACTTGTTACTACTAGCGTGGCACTTGTTCCTAGTAGCTTCTTGTTACTACTAGTAAGGCACTTGTTACTACTAGCGTGGCACTTGTTCCTAGTAGCTAAATGTAGGTAAATACGTCATGCATGGTGTCTGGGACGTGGAGTGCTTCTTGAAGCTTGGGTGAAACAGCTCCTCAAAGCCCCCCAACCGGCCGACGCCGGACGCGGCCCGTGGAGGGCTTGGACTCCAAATTCTGCGAAGTGGCAAGGGGCCCTGGAAGGACCAGTGCGGTGATTGATGTAGGAAAGACCTGTGGTGGGTGTTGTTGATGTTGATGACAATGTTATTGTTGGTGTTGGTTGTGATTGTGGTTGTTGTTGTTGTTGTTGTTGTGGTTGTTGTTGTTGTTGTTGTTGTTGATGTTGATGTTGATGTTGATGCTGTTGATGGTGACGTTGTTATTGTTGATCGGAATGCCCGTAAGGTGCTTCACTGAAGCAGAATTGTTGAATTCATGCGGTAACCCACCTGCATGAATGGACAGCACTCGTTAGCTGGATGGTATGTTTTGGGGTCCACCAGTTATTTCAGAAGTCATGTGGGGCCTTTTCATTCCTTTGCATAATCTTGTGCATTTGAACTTGTTAAACTGGAAGACCAATCCTGTTCACACGATCATTTCCACGGCTTGTAACTGTTCGAGCGGATGTTGACCTTAACTTCGCTGGTGCGCCAAGACTTCCGTTGCAAGCTGTGCATTTGGAGCGGGATATTCGGACTCTTGGAGTCTTGAAGTCCTTCTTGGGAAGGTTCAAGATGGAATCCATTGCAGTACTGAATGGGCTATAGTTTCTTTGTTTAGAGCAGATCTAAGTAGGTGACGATGGGAGCATATGGGACCCCTTTGCCACCGGGCTGCCGATGAAAACACGCAATCTCTGCAAGCCACCTTTTGGGGTTTTGACCATCTATAAACGCTATATACTCCATGTTACTCTGAAGCTGCTGTTTATAAATACATGATTGCTGATGAAGGAGCCATTCTGTTTCAACCTTCTATATACCAACATGGCAATCTTCTGTGTAGCGACTTGGACAGCTGAGCTTCTTTCAATGACACAGCTGGACCCCACAGGTTCGCTTGGATCGGCTGTGATCCGGGGTGACAGCTGAGGTGACTCAATGCTATGATATCATCTCACAGATAGAAGCTTGACTCAGAGTGGGTCAGGCGACACTTCGCGGTAGCCTTTCCCTTATGGTCTCTCCTTGGAAGATGATGGAGGTTGTCCTGAGCCATCCGAGAATGTAGGGCAAGTCCTTCCTTTAGGATGAACCATGGTGCTACCCTTGGTCCCAAGAGCTTAAATTATGATAAGGGACATAGACATAGCCTTTAGTCTTTTGTGCTTCCTCACATTCAAGTTATAGACGTGCTTATCTAGCCACATGAAGAACCGGGAACACTCCCAAGGTTCTTTCTTTTGGGGGACAGACCAAAGCCACCTTTAAGCATTGTGGCTGCGGCTAGAGAAGAATACCACCGTGCTCACTCTAGCCAAAGATCTGGTTTGCAACCGTCCAGGTGAGGCTTTCAGAGTGTGTTCATGAAGGTGGGACCCACGAAACACCACTCTGGGAACAGCCGATCTGTGCGCAACCCCTTGGAGTGCGATTGGAGATGTCGTGAAAGGTGACAAGCAGGCAGACGCGCTACCGATCTGTGTGCCACATACGTACATAAAAATGAGAGAGATGGACTCTAGCGTCGTACAAACCAGCTGGGCAACACACACACACACACTTCAAAAAGGTATGTATGCACAAGCAATATACACAACATATACATCACCAACGCAGCACCTCAAACAAAAACCAGATGTTCCTTTTCCGGCATGCGAAAGACGACAATTGTGAGGAACGCGACTGCCCGATGGACATCCCCACCATGGCGCTGACCCGGGATGAGGCACAGCAGCAAACTGGTGATTCCATAACTACAGGACCTTCCAATGGGGGATTTTTGGGCACCCCTTAACTTCCAAGGTCCAAGAGGCTATTTATAGACACCCCTTGGAGGGTCCTGGTAGGTGTTTTGTTTGACCATTTGGAGTGGAACTTGGCCTCAATTGGGTAGGAGATTTCAATCCATGAGTATTTGTGAGTTGTATTACAGGCTTACACCAGCCCGCAGCGCGAGTTTCTTCACACAGGGGTTTAACCTGCCGAGATGTCGGGTGTTTGTTCTCCTTGGCTCTCAGTGTCGGTCGACGAACAGATCGAAAAGGCCATAAAAGAATGATTCTGTTCTTGCTTGCTGGTCGAAATGGGGAAGTAAACGTGAGTCTGTCAATACAATTGGAAGCACTGCCAGGTATGCAGCCCTACCTGCCTGGCGCTTGTCGATAAGGCCTTTGGCCTGCGGTTTTATCCATATTGATCACGGTTTTGTGGTGTTTTTTTGCGGCGAGAAAGAAACTGTGTGGGGCATGACAATCATAATCACGAGGGAGTTCACGAGGGATATTCACAAGCATGCTTTTCAGAAAACATGGCCCTCCTAACTCGAGGGGTGCTTCTCTCCGTATGTTCCATCTCTTTGCCTCATCGAAAGGCCGAAGCAAGAAGGTTTGGGTTGGTTGAACTGGGGGATTTATGTTGAGTTGGGGGACCTAAGGAACGAAGCTGCGAAAGATGATTCATGGCACCCGAAGTGAAGACTGAAGACCTCCGAAGACCCGTAGGATACAACGTGTATCGTCCGAGTGATCAGGGTTGAAGCCCTCTGTTTCTTGCAGCCGTGCTGCAGAGGTGTGACCTGCAAGTCTTGAAAACATCTCATCACCAAGGCAGCCAGCTTCTGTGAGATGTTGGAGACCGTGCTATAAGGTTGGAGGCCATTACAATTAGGTTGAAGGCCATCGCTCTTAGGTTGGAGCGGCTTCTGTCATTTTGACTTTGCGGCGAGTGCCCCAAACGAGATCCGAGACCCCGACTGCTCCACCCGACGAGGTCCGGACGGTGTGTGGTGCCTACCGCACCGTGTTGGAGAGCACCGATGGCATCGTCGCATATCAGTCGCTCCGCTGCGGATGGCTTGGCGGCTGAACTCGGATCTTATAAGACCAGTCGTCTCATCCTTCACCTCGTAGTCTCGTGAGTCAGAGTGCATTCGGATGTGCAGAAAGTCTGGGTGCACATCCGTCGTGGCCAACAGTTCTCTGGTTCGACCTCGGTCTCTCGACCATTCCGTCGGAATCCACCGGTCCAAAGCGAAGCGCCAGAGCCACACCGCCGGCTTCGCGCCAGGGGATGGGTTTCAGTGTACAGAAGGCACATCCTTCTGTGGGTGTCAGTGTAGAACATGTCCGTTGGGATGTAGTAACATCTATAGTGGCAGACAGACACAGGCACTCCCAATGCTCACATTGGGGTGGTTGGGGGTCCATGGGTCCCAAAAGATGCCAGCCCCATGGACCTTTTGGGAGATCATCTCACACCGGACCGTGTAGCCTCCGGCCGTAGCGTACGGCACCCGGTGGCGTACCGCGCCACTTGAGGCGTCACTTTGGATGCGACGCAGGTGGGAAGGGGGCGAAGGGCGAACGATCCGAGCAGCCAGCTGCGGTCGAAGCAAAAACATATCAGATGTGATATCCCCCCGGTTCAGGATTCGGAAGTGATGAGATCAATACTTCTGCATGCTTTTGTTCACCTTCAGAACTTCAATGTTCATGTTACTGAGTGGGGGAGGGGAAGACAACCTAACGGACACATCGACACATTTGTCACCGCATAGAGCTAACCACAGCCATCTCCCATCTAATTGAGTTTAGCCGCTATGGACGTCCACACCCAGCCCACCACCAGATCAATACTGGTCTCAGACCGGTGGCGTCCCGCAGTTCAACGGTTCCGTCGGCGCGCGCCTGCAGGTGCAGAGCTGCCGCTGTTGGGAGGTTTGAACCAATCTGAGGAGGCGGGAGGAGTTGGGTTCCAAGATGGCTGGTTTCTGTTGGATTTTGACGACCCTCAGGTGTTTTCTAGAATACTAGATAGCCAGAAGTTTTGGTTTGGGATGATCAACCTTTCAACTGGAGATACGCGTGTCACTCGTGTTTGGAGCACTGGGAGAAAGACAGATGTGCTATCTATAAGCCTTCCTTGCCAAGATTGACCTTGCGGCAAGTGAGACTCGTTATTGGTGCTAGGCCAGATGTTTGTTGTTTCTTTACCTGACTTGTCTACCACATTTGCGCACACAGTGTACACAGCTCCTAACAGAAGCAACGCCAGAACTTCAAGCTTTGAGGCAGAATTATAGAAAGCATACTGGCAGTTATTGTCACACCAGACCTGACTTGATGCTGCTTTCTCATGAACAGACGGGTTCAAGCTACTCAGATTAGTTGTCTCAGACTGAGAAACTCTGCAACAATCTTGTTGTTTCATAGTGAAAGTAGAACAGCCTTTGCTTGTGATGCCCTCTCTGAGACATTCCCACCGCTTTGTGAATGCAGGGCGATTGATTGATTGCAAAAGTGGGCTCGTGTTTACTTTCGGAAGATGACGATTCGACGGGATCATTGACATGAGTCAAATCGGACTCCTGAGCTCTGGTTAGTTGAAGTTGACCTCCCTGGTAATCTATTCTGTTCATGTTCAGGCATCATTTTGGGGTTCCCACTGTTTTTACCCACAGCCAAGTGTGTCGTGCTTTATTAACTAAGACTAAGACACATAGGTCGGTATTGTGATGAATACACGTGCTGCTATGTCTAGAAGTGTGTTTTCAACTTTTGGCCCTCAGTAATCCAGTTGGATGTCCTCCCAATCAAGAACATGCAAACAAAACATGTCTTGTAGTTGTATGTACGCACTGTAATTGTCAGACAACAAAAAAAGACACATATAATACATGCAATTACACATACTATATATGGCTGTGAGCCAAAACCCCGTTCGCAACACCTTTGCCCTGAACCGTGGTAGGT